GCTGACGTTTCGGGCCTAGACCCTTCATCAGAAAAGGGGGAGGGGAAGGGGGTTTTGAAATAAATAGGGAGAGAGTGGGAGGCGGATAGAAGATGGATAGAGGAGAGGATAGGTGGAGAGGAAACAAACAGGTCGAAGAGGCGGGGATGGGGCCAGGAAAGGTGAGTGTAGGTAGGGAGTTAGGAAGGGGATAGGTCAGTCCAGGGAGGACGGACAGGTCAAGGGGGCGGGATGAGGTTGGTCGGTAGGAGATGGAGGTGCGGCTTGAGGTGGGAGGAGGGGATAGGTGGGAGGAAGAACAGGTTAGGGAGGCAGGGACGAGTTGGACTGGTTTTGGGATGCGGTGGGGGGAGGGGAGATTTTGAAACTTGTGAAATCCACATTGATACCATTGGGCTGCAGGGTTCCCAAGCGGAATATGAGTTGCTGTTCCTGCAACCTTCGGGTGGCATCGTTGTGGCACTGCAGGAGGCCCAGGATGGACATGTCGTCTGAGGAATGGGAGGGGGAGTTGAAATGGTTCGCGACTGGGAGGTGCAGTTGTTTGTTGCGAACCGAGCGTAGGTGTTCTGCAAAGCGGTCCCCGAGTCTCCGCTTGGTTTCCCCGATGTAGAGGAAGCCACACCGGGTACAGCGGATGCAGTATACCACATTGGCAGATGTGCAGGTGAACATCTGCTTGATGTGGAAAGTCTTCTTGGGGCCTGGGATGGGGGTGAGGGAGGAGGTATGGGGGCAGGTGTAGCACTTCCTGCGGTTGCAGGGAAAAGTGCCGGGTGTGGTGGAGCTGGAGGGGAGTGTGGAGCGGACAAGGGAGTCACGGAGAGAGTTGTCCCTCCGGAAAGCAGATAAAGGTGGGGAGGGAAAGATGTCTTTGGTGGTGGGGTCGGATTGCAGATGGCGGAAGTGTCGGAGGATGATGCGTTGGATCCGGAGGTTGGTGGGGTGGTACGTGAGGACGAGGGGGATTCTTTTTTGGTTTTTATTGCGTGGACGGGGTGTGAGGGATGAGGTGCGGGAGATGTGGGAGACACGGTTGAGGGCGTTCTCGACCACCGAGGAGGGGAAGTTACGGTCCTTGAAAAACGAGGACAACTGAGATGTACGGGAGTGGAATGCCTCATCCTGGGAGCAGATGCGGCGGAGGCGAAGGAATTGGGAATAGGGGATAGCATTTTTGCAGGAAGGTGGGTTAGGGTTAGGCCAGACCAGGTAAGGATGGCAATTTTTGTTGTTAATGCTTTTCAATGTTCTCGCTGCTCATTCAACTCTCCCAATGCAAACAAATTTCTACTAACCCTCCAGGAACACACACACAGATTTTTTTTAAACAAAAACTATGTCTCCAGTGATACTGACAAGTTAATCATTAAACAACAACGCCTCCCCCATACTTACAGATCAAACCCACATACCACTAGTTCAAAATCCATATCACACACCTTACGTCAGAACTTATACATTTTTTCCTGTGGTTAATGCCTTGAGATTAACTATATTTATGGTGCATTGCATCTTTAATGGTGAGAATTATATTATGCACATATCCTCCAAAGTGCAGTTGGCAGCACAGAGCTGATAATCGACAAAAACTTTGTTGAAGTGATGTAAAGGCAGTAGTTACATCTTGATGTTTATAGATCTGTTACAAACTAGTGAAGCATCTAAGTATTAAACTCATTTCAATCTTTAGATTAAATTATTGCTTTGCAGTCTCTCTTGAATGTTCTAAATGTTTTTTCCATGAAATATTCTATAGTCATTTATTGGTACAGAATTTTGTTGAAGCTTTTTGATTTGTACTCGTAAGACAATTCACAAAAAAATCTAAATAAAGGGAAAATAACGTATATCGTATGAAAGGAGAGCGCTGATTTATTGGCAAGTGGCCTCTGATCGGTAGAGGCATTTCAACTCAAGAAATTAGATGGCAGGTCATTCCCTGGATTGTTCCTAAAGGCAGAGCCTTGACTAATCAAGGTCAACCTGCTGGTTTAAAATATAAACAAAACTTGGCATTTAACTGTCAGTCATCAGTAATATGTATTCTCCATGGCATCATCTCTACCAATCAGAGTCCACTTGCTAACCAATCAACACTCTTCTCATTCAGTATAAATTCTGTTTCACTTCGATTTTTTTTTTTGGCAACTTGTCTTGATGAGTGCAAGATGATTGCTTTGACAAAATGTTTTTTCAGCAATACAAAAATATTCTGCAATATTTTGTTTAGCTGGTGTTTTGTTTTGCAATTAACACTTTCAATTTTTTTGTTGTTTTCCCAGTCTACCAGCTTTCTACATTTCATTTGTAAAAGGCCCTTCAAGTTCTGACTGTATCCTGCCTGATTTGTGGACTCATTACTTAATCCTACAGAGTGGAGCTTTGGCTTTTTTTAGGGATGAGTATTGTCTTGTATTGCACTGCTACTTTAAATACCTTCCATGTTTATAAATACATTTGTTAACAATTCAGCATAATTTATTGTGTCAGTTTACGTTCAATTTTTAGCAGTAAATTTACTGAAGTTTAAAACCTGGCTTGAGATTCTCCCTTCTTCCACTCAACTTTAGTATCAAAGTCAATCATATCATGTTTATTATTTGCGAGATGTTCATTTCCTGTCAGATTATTAACTACTTTTGGCATATTAGCACTACATCTAGAATGGCCTCTTTTGTTCTTCTACAACATTTGGTTCCAGAAAACTGTTCTGAATATACTGGAGAATGCTGTTTATGACTCCGGCTATTCTCCAAAATTATGAAAATGAAAATCACCCATTCTAAACATTTTGCTTTATCTAAATGCAGTTCTAATCTTCAGATTTAAGGAACCCTCTACAACATAACTGTGGTCAGCAAACCTGCAGCCTGCTCCCAGCAGAGTTCTCATCAGCCAGTGCAACAAACAAGAAATCATTCATTTGTTTGAAAACAACAAGATCTTCAAGCCTTGAGTCTTTTTGAGTTGCCTGGAACTTCGGGAGTATGTGTTCCTTGTTCTTTCCACCACCCAGCCTCCCTCCCACCCCCCATCACATTCCGTCATCAACAACCCCCATCACACTGTCCCTAGATCACATCCCTTCAAGTTGACATCCCCCACACCTCCACCACATTCTCTCTCTCTCCCCGCTCCCCCCATCACA